AGAGGGTGTAATAAAGGGTCTTTTCTTTCATATTACATGAATTTTTTTCTGTTCACATAGGTTTTTAATTTCTGTAATGCAAGACAGACCTGAAGTATATTTGCCACTTAAATTTTGGTCAGCATATGATCTTCTGGGCATAAAAAGGAATATATACTTTTGTACACCTCTGAAATCAATTTGGAAATTTCACATTGAGTGGGGCTCCTGGGAACTCCCTATGCTATATAAAAGTTTCAAACTCAGAAAATCCCATACCTGATAGTTAAAATTTTAGCCCTCTACATTTCTAGATTTCTTGAGCAGTTATAAGTTTCAAATTAATAAAAAATGAGTTTAAGAAATGTAACGGACACTGGAGAACTATGACTTCCACAGGCTAGTCAAATAGCCTCTAAGTATTTGGAAGTATGGTAAGATTATTATTTTCCTTTAATACCAACTTTATTGAAGCATCATTCACATACCATAAAATTTACACACTTAAGTATACAATTCAGTGGTAACTAGTGTAGTCACAGAATTGCGTGACTGTTAGCACTGTCTAATTTCACAATGTTAGCATCACCCCAAAGAGAAACACAATGTCCTTTAGTGATCACTCCCCCTGCTTCCCATTCCTCAGCCCCTCGTAACCACGAATCTCTTCTATCCCTATAAATTTTTCCTGTTCTTGACATGTCATATAAATATAGTCATATTATGTAGACTTGTTTCTGGTTTCTTTGATTTAGCCTATCTTCAAGATTCATCAGTGTGGAAGCATCAGTACCCCATTGCTTTTTATGGCCAAATCATATCCCATGGTATGGCTATACTACCTTTTGTTTATCCATTCATCAGTTGATGGCCATTTGAATTGTTTCTACCTTTTGGCGGTTGTGAAGAATGCTGCTATAAACATTCATATGGAAGTTTTTATATGGATATGTTTTCTTATGTATGTAGTTTTTACTATAGAAACAAAGTGTAATAAAACAGTGGGGGAACTTTAAAACTTTGAATACAGATCAAGGTGCTCTGAGGGATATAGCGGTAAATATACAGTTTATAATTGCCCCACACATCCCCAGTTTTAAGCTCAGTGTTTTTTATTTGTCCTTAGCTTTATTGAGGTATAATTGACAAATAGGACTAAGGTGCACATGAGTTGGGAAGATCCCCTGGAGAAGGCAATGGCACCCCACTCCAGTCCTCTTGCCTGGAAAATCCCATGGACGGAGGAGCCTGGGAGGCTGCAGTCCATGGGGTCGCTGGGGGTCGGACATGACTGAGCGACTTCACTTTCACTTTTCACTTTCATGCATTGGAGAAGGCAATGGCAACCCACTCCAGTGTTCTTGCCTGGAGAATCCCAGGGACAGCGGAGCCTGGTGGGCTGCCGTCTGTGGGGTTGCACAGAGTCGGACACGACTGAAGTGACTTAGCAGCAGCAGCATGCATACATGCAAGGTACACAATTGTTTTGATAAATGTGTACATTGTGAAATGATCAGCACAGTTAATCTAATTAGCATATTCATCACCTCACATTTTTACATCTTGTTTTTATGGTGAGGACATATAAGATTTACCCTCTTCGTAAGCTGTAGGTATACAATATAGTATTGTTCACTATAGTCATCATGCTGTACATTAGATCTCCAAAATTTACTCATCTTAAACAACTGAAACTTTGTACTCTTTTGACCAACATCTCCCTATTTCCACCGCCACCCCTCTCCCTTGCCCCAGGTAGCCACCATTCTACTCTGTCCTTCCAAGAATTTGACTATCTTTAACTCACATATATTTCACATGTAAAATTCATGTAATATTTGTCTTTCTGTGTATGGCTCATTTCATTCTGAATAATGTTCTTCGAGTTCATCCATGTTGTCAGGAATGGCAGTATTTCCTTCTTTTATAAGGCTGGATGACATTCCACTGTGTGTGTACTGTATCTTCTTTATTCATTCATTGATGAACATTGAGGTTGTTTTTGATTCTTGACTATTGCAAATAATGCTGCAATGAACATGGGAATGCAGATTTTTCTTGGAGATACTGATTTCATTTCCTTTGGATATATACTTAAAAGGGGGATTCCTGGATCATATGGTAGTTCTATTTCTAATTTTTTTGACATGTCCTCATACTATTTTCCCTAATTGCTGTCTAATTGCTATTATCCTCACCAACAGCAAACACCAAAAAAGGTTCCTTTTTCTTCATAACCTCAGCAACCTTTGTTATCTGATTTTTTTTGATAAATGACCATTTCAACAGGTGGGATGTAATAGCTCATTGAGGTTTTGATTTGCATTTCCCTGATGATTAGTGATGTTGAGCACCTTCTCATATACCTTTTGCCATTCATATGTCTTCTTTGGAGAAATGTGTATTCAAGTGCTCTGCCCGTTTTTTAACCAGGTTATTAATTTGCTTTTGATTTGTAAGTGTTCCTTATATATTTTCCATATTAACCCTTTATCACATATATGGTTCACAAGTATTTTTTTCCCTCTACAGGATGTCTCTTTACTATGTGGACTGTTTCTTTTGCTGTGCAAAAGCTTTTTAGTTTGATGCAGTCTTGTCCATTTTTCACTTTTGTTGCCTGTGCTTTGGAAGTCTTATTCAAAAAATTGTTCTCAAGACTAAATATGTGATGTTTTATGGCAAAGGAGTTGTTCATACTTGGACATAGTGATTGATCCTTTGTGTGTGTTACTGAATTCAATTTGATAATATTTGGTAGAGTTTTGCACATATATTCATAAAGGACATTAGTCTGTAGTTTTCTTGAATGCCTTTTTACATTAGAGTGAAACTGGTATCATGGAAAGAGAAAGTGTTATTTTTAATTTTTGGAATACTTTGTGAAGGATTGGTGCTCATTCTTCTTTAAATGTCCAGTAAAAGTCACCATCAAATTCATCTGATTCTGGACTTCTCTTTGTCAGAAGTTTTCAGATTTCTGTTTCAATCTTTAGTTATCCTATGGCTATTCAGATTTTCTGCTGCTTCTAGAACCATGTTCAGAAGTTTGTGTCTTAGGATTTGTCCATGTCATCTAGGTTATCTGATTGGTTGGCATGTGATTATTTATTGTTTTATTGTCCTGTCATACTCATTTTTATTGATATAGAATGGTAGTGATATACTCTCTTTTATTCCTGATTTTAAGAAATTGAGTTTTTGCTGCTGTTGATTTTGGCTTGGTGAGTCTAGCTCAAGTGTTTTTTCAATATCGTTAATCATTAAAAGACATAATTTCAGGTTTGTTGATTTTCTCTATTGCTTTCTGTTCTCTATTTCATGGTTATTCCTTTCCTTTTATTTGCTTTGTTTACTTCCTTTTGTTCTTCTTTTTTCTATTTCCTAAGATGGAGGTTAGGTTATTGATGAAAGGCCTTTATCTTTTTTTAATATTGGTGCTTACTGCTATAAATTTACTTCTAATCACTGCTTTTGCTGCATCCCATAAGTTTTGGTATGTTGAGTTTTAGTTTTTCTTTATCTCAAAGTTTTCTCTAATTTCTCTTGAAATTTCTTCTTTGATCTATTGGTTACTTAGAAGTGTATTATTTAATTTCTGCATATTTATGCATTTCCTGCATTCTCTTGTCTTTATTTGTTCTTTTAAACAATTTCTATATTGATATGCTCTATTTTGTGAAATGTTCTCATACTGCCTTTAAGTTTTTAGACATGTTTTTCTTCAGTCTTTTGAACATATTTATAATAGTTGACTTACTATCTTTGTTTAATAACTCTAACAGTTGAGTTTCCTCAGGGACAGTTTCTATTTATTAGGTTGGTACAAAAGTAACTGTGGTTTCAGACCATGAATTTTAAATCATTATAACTAGGCAGAAATACATCTTTATAAATCAGACTAGAAACCATTATGATCAACACATTTTGCCAATGAGAAATAAGTTTGTTTATTCCTGTAGCATAAAAATCCATGCTATGAAATTTGACGAACTCTTGGAAAGCATTTTCTGCCTCCTGCTGGTTGTGGAAGTGTTTTCCCTGCAAAAAGTTTTCAAGATGCTTGAAGAAGCAAGAGATCAAGTGAATGTGGCGAATGAGGCTAAACTTTGTAGCCTGATTCATTCAACTTTTGCAGTGTTCGTTGTGCAATATTTTAGGTAATTTTCAAATCGCTGAGAAGTTAATTTTGACAATTTTCCCAGTGTTCTCTTTCTGTTTGTGAAGGAGTAACTTTTTGGAGGCCCTTATTCTGCCATTCTGGAAGTATTTCGGTACCATTAATCTTAATTTTTTTCTTAGATAGTTTTCTAATAATGTGTATCTTAAAGATTTGTCAGAGCTGTATATGATGTTTCTAAAGACTTTAATTTCACCATCAATAAACTAGCTTGCCTTAAAATTTTGTAAGCAACATTTTTTATTTTCTTTTTATTTTATCCTAATAGTTTTCTGTTTTCTTAATCCATTTCAGCTGCTATAAGAATATACCATAGACTGCACAGTTTATAAGCAACTGAAATTTATTTCTAACTGTTCTGGAGGTTGGAAATCCCAGATTGGAGTGCTCGCATGGTCAGGTGTGGGCCCTCTTCCTGGGCACAGACTTCTTCTGATATCCTCACATGGTGGAAGGCTTAAGGAGCTCTGTGGACCCTCTTTTTAAAAAGGCACTAATTCTATTCAGGCTTTGATCGCCTAATTCTATCTTATAAAGCATTAGAATTTAACAGAAGAGTTTCAGAACTTCCCTGGTGGTTCAATGGTTAAGACTCCTTACTTCCACTTCAGGACATGAGTTCAGTCCCTGGTTGTGGAACTAAGATCATGTATGTTGTATGAAATGGCATAAAAAAAAACCACCACACAACCCGAAACATGAGTTTTAGGGGTTCACAAATATTACCCAGGGATCAAACCCAAGTCTCCTGAATTGCAGGCAGGTTCTTTACCTGCTGAGTCACAAGGGAAGCCCAAAATATTCAGCCTATAGCAACTGATCACTTTTCTTCTATTTTCAGAATGTGACATGTTCATTCATTCCACATCAAGTTGGAGTCTTTAAAGTGAAGCAATTTATAGAGATTATCGGCTCAGTGGCAGATGAAAATTTGCAGTCTTCATCACTGAAGCCTTTCCATCAGATATATTTATATTTTAATAGTGTCTGCAAGCCTTCCACCAAGAAAGTTGTGATGAAAGTTAATCCTGGTATGCTATTAGGGGTGCTTATCAATTATTTATTTTATTAGTTTATTTTTGGTTACTCTAGGATTATCTTAACACATTAATGTTTAGCTGTGTATATCAAATGTGATCTAATCTAATGCTTCTAAACTTTTGCATGCATCTGGGCCTGTAAAAATATGTCATTGTCTTACATCCCATCATTGATTATTAAGCATATCTTTGTTGGAGCCCAAATATTTGAATTTCCAGCATGTTTCCAGTAGATGCTGATGCTGCCATTTTGAAGATCTCACTTTGACTAGCACTGGTTTGGTGGTATATAAAATTTATTAAATATGTTAATATTTTATTCTTTTACTTTCTTGAGTCTAGAATATAAACCATTTTGACCATTCCATAGATTTTCTGATTGCTACTGTTTCAACTAATTCTCAGTTATCTCTTATACATTGAACCATATGAAATTGCTGATATTCAGTTCTCTTTATAAAAATTTCAGTTTCATGTGGGACAACCCAGTCCTTCAAGTTATCAGGTTTTAGTTTTTTTGCATGCATTTTTATCACTTACGCATACATTATTTTGCTAAATTGTTTTATGTAGATCCATTGATTAATTATTTGTATTTTCTGAATTTGCTTAGGGATTTTTTTTTAAGTTGGAAGCAGCACTCTAGTGTAATTGTTAATTCATAAAAGTTCAAAAAAATGTTTAAACTTAATATTCAATTCTCTAACAGGTCTATCCCCTTTGGTCAGTAATCCTACGGGACAGTTTGTGGTGGAAGACTTGGTGCAGTACAAGGACCATGCACCTGTTGCGATGCTTCAGTCAACCATGACACACATTCACAATCATAAGATAAATAAAGAGTTAATAAAGGGTGCACTGATAGCCTTTCCCAACGACCGAGCTGCAAGTATCCGGTCTGGAGAAGACCATAAAAATTTCAGGTAATGTGCTATATTAAAAACCTGAAATTTCATAAGACACAATAACCAGCATGACATGCAGAGATCTTATCAGATCCTGCTGTAATAAATTAGTGATGGTAATAATAATAGTAGTAAATTTTTTATTTTCAATTTTCTTTTTTTTTTACTTTGGAGGAGTTGTTGTGGAATGCTACTGTATTTCCTTCATCTAACTTTTCGTCTCTAATGTGTACTTGCCAGGGTTTGTGAATGGTTTACCCAATAGTTCTTAAAATAGGCTGTTGACAGGTAGAGAAGAATAATAGAAATAATCATGTTTGAAAATGTATACAGTCCTCAGAATAGTCATGTTCATTCATTATGTCTGAGAGCTTGAATTTATATAAGATTAAAAAATTTAAACTGTGATAAATCAGTTGTTCTCATCTTCATTGTCATTATTGTCTTCATCCTTAGCATCATCTTTGTTCAATCTCCTCAAAGTCACATTTCCAACAGCTTTTCCAAAAATGAACTAAAATCTCACTGGTTATAAGAATTATAAGTGATAGTAAACCTTAACTTAAATTTATTGAAACTTGAAAGGAATTACTATCTTGTCAATGCTTAGTGAGAATAAACTCAGTCATCCTGACATCTTTATTTTAGCCATTAGCTCAGGAATGGTTTTTATACATTTGAGGACGAACTGGATTTCTTTTCTGCATGCTTGTATGTTACCAAACAACTGTCTAAACTTGATCATGCCCCATAACATTCTTTACTTGTCTCTTTACCTTTGGTGAATCTTTAAACTCACTTACTTTTACAGTTATTTTCTTAAAATACAATTTGATTTTTTATGCCATGATTGTTTTATTATCCACAATTGCAAAATTTTAAGTTTTTATTAATATATAGTTTATTTTAAGATTTTATTTTACAAATTCCATCCATATCAGTTTTTATCTCTCTTTTTATAGTTGGCAAGTACTATAAAACACACAAGCATGATTATGCAGACTCCACTTTAAATAGTTATACAGTATAAGAAAAGGAAAACACTGCAAAGATAGCTGTGGAAATAATTTTTAAATGTATTATTTTCAATTATTTCCAATGCTTATATAAATATATCTATATACAGATATAGTGTGTTAATTTAACATTAATATTTTATTGGTAAGGCAATATTAATCAGATGATCTAAAATGCCATTTTTTTTTTTTTTTGAGGAAGTCTAACCTAAACATTTTATATTTATCCCATGGCAATAATTATATTTTTTCTCTCAATTTACTCATTTCCATACTAACAGAAATACAAAATTTAGTTATTTTCTGGCTAGCAATTAGTAGTGAAAATTCAAATAATGATATTTTACAGTATATTAACTTGGTAATTATAATTGCTATTTTATTTTTTAATGCATTTTACCTTTTCAATTTTTGAGAAGAAAATAAGGTAAGAATTTTGTCTAGTTTTATTTAATGCAGTATATATCTTGTGTTTAGAATAGTGTGTTATAATAGGCACTCAGTAAGTATTTCTTTAATGAATGAGGGAAAATGTCTTATTTACATAGTAAATTTTTTTTGCCTGTACTTTGCACACTTTAAAAAATCACCTACTCAAAGATTCAGAGGTATTTCTTAAAGTTTGTTCTTTAAGGATCTCATAAGCATTTAGATATGTTAGTCACCAGCATTTGTCACTTCAGGCACCTACTCTACTACTTACTTCTAAGTCCTGCCTTTTCTTCTTGCTACAGACATAGGGACTTCAGATATAGGAATTATTTCTAGATTCTAAAGGTAAAGAATCTACCTGCAATGCAGGAGACCTGGGTTTGATCCCTGGGTTAGGAAGACGCCCTGGAGAAGGGCATGGCAACCCACTCCAGTATTCTTGCCTGGAGAATTCCATGGACTGTATAGTCCGGGTCACAGAGTCGGACACGACTGAGCAACTTTCACTTTCCAGGAGATAGTGAAGGGCAGGGAATCTTGGCGTGCTGCAGTTCATAGGGTTGCAAAGAGTCAGACAGAACTTAGTGACTGAACAGCAACAGTCCTTGGGTAAGAAAGCATTTGTTTCTCTCTTATTGCTTCACTCTCTTAAAGAGTTTAACTCAGTTAAAAAAGTCTTACTGTAACCACTGAGGAATTATTGAAAACAGGAAGAAATATTAGATTAAATTTCATTTGACTGTGTAAGACTACTAGGTTTATACTTATGATTTAATTACTGAGAGTGAGAATCTCAATAATTAATAATATTTGCTGAAGACTGAGATAACCTAAGGCCAAAGGATATGAATAATTGTACTTCTTGTTTTTATGGAAAATACATGGTAGGCCAAAGTAAAAGCGTGAACACAGTTGAGTGAATATGAGATATTGAGTAGTTTGTAATTCTTTTTTGGATTTGTTTTTTGTATAGGTTTGTTGCTGATGGTCACTTTATAAACTGAGATATTAAGAAAGCAGTATAATTGAAAAAAGGATTCCTTATTCTTTCTATATAATTTTTTTTCTGGTTTTGAATACAGTGATCTAAAAATAATTAACTATTAGGAAATACTAATAAGATTCAGATTTAATTCCATCTGTAACCTGGAGCTGCCCAAATTATTACCTCCTTGACTAATACCCCAAGAATAGGTGGTGTTACATCCCAATGACCTTAGAGATTTTCTGTCATTAGTTTGTGAAGAAAATTAGACATCATTCTAATCCTACATGTAATAAATAATGTCTCTATATATAATAGGATATGAGGACAATATCAGGACAGGACAGTCTTGTTCACCAATCTGTGCCCGACTCCTGGTATAGGAGGCACTCAATAAAAATAGTGATTGAATAAATGCACATGTATCAATATACATAAATATTAACATGACTTCCTCATATTGTAGGACGATTTTCACAAAGATTCCAAGATATAACTATGTGGATCCTGATTTTGCATATACTAAATTTGAAAAGATAGAAAAGAAATCTCATGAAAAATATTATGCAGACTACATTAAATATTTAAGAAATGTGCGCCTGAAGAAAGAAGCACACAGGTAAAGTTCACTTTCTCAAACAATATGAAACAAACAGATCATGGTACCTATAAAGCCAGAATTTTTTTCTTTAGGTTCTTTTTCGTGATTTAAAGGATGTCTTCATGTATGAAAACAACAAAACACTGAACTACTTAAACTGCACTTATTTCCTTTTTTACTTTTGATTTGGGAATGTCTTAGATGGACTTCCCTAGAAGCAGATTGATTCTAAGGCAGGAATTCCAGCACATGTGATTTTTGGAGGATGTTCTTTTGGGAGGAACGTGTACAATGTGAGGAAGCAGGATAGGGCAGGAGAGGGAGCTCAGAAATAATGTGTTTCAAATAAAGTTTACTCTCAGACTGGTGCCTGGGGTCTCTTGAGTGTAAATTATGCTATGTTGTTGTTCCTGCCTTGAGTCAAAGGAACTTTTGTGCTCCATATCAGTCATTGCCTGTGAATTGTCATTGGGTATGGTAGGATGGGTGTAACTTTCTTGGGGAGGTATTTGAGAATGGGGTCTCCTTAACAGAGGGCAATTTTATGTGGAAAGTGCTTTTGCCTGTTTCAGTGGATCTCAGTGGGTCAGTAACAGCATCTACTATGGGGAATATTTGAATTTACTGATGTATATATTTTCTAAAAGGCAGCCTCAATTAGTTATTATTATGATTTCCCTAGGAAGTGCATATACTCATATAATGACATAGACATAGGATTACATCCTGCATCTGGTCTAAAAGCACCCACTGTCTCAGAAGTGGAAATGGAAGAGGAGTTATCTTCAGCACAGTGTTGGATCAAACAAAACCAATTGCTATGTGCCAGAAATATAGCATTGAAGGAGACAGAGTCTCTGAGAAGAAAGGCATGTACAATATTTTACATTTGATTATACCATGATAATTCTTAATATATCTTTTGCTAGTATTGAACAATTAATTTTAGAATAATGTGATTTCTCACAGGTTCTTAAAGGACTTAAATCAGACCCTTCCACACCCCATGAAAAACATGATTGCAGCTTAATTTTGACACCAAAGCAAATTTATCAAGTAATTGTTGGTAAGAATATATAAAAACTTACTGAAATCTTTTTAAAAAATAGATTTATTGAAGTATAGTTAATATTTCATAAAATTCACCAGGTCAAAGCATGCAAATCAGTGAATTTCAGTGAATTTACAGGTTTATTCAGCCATCATCACAATTCAGTTTTTACAATGATGCCAACACCCTCATCACTGTTATGCTGTTACTTCCAGTTCCCACCCCTAGCCCCAGGCAACCATTAATTAGCTTTCTATCGCTATAGATTTGCCTATTCTGAATATTTCATGTAAAAGGAATCACATAATATGTGGTCTTTCTTACATTACTTCTTTTACGTAGCATAATGTTCGTAAGGTCCATCCCTGTGGTGTTAGGTATGAATATTTTGTTGTTATGCTTAAATAGTATCTCATGTTATTAGGAATGGGCTTCCCTGGTGGCTCAGCTGCTAAAGAATCTGCCTGCAATGCAGGAGACCTAGATTTAATCCCCGGGTTGGGAATATTCCCTGGAGCAGGGCATGGCAACCCACTCCAGTATTCTTGCCTGGACAATCCCCATGGACAGAGGAGCCTACAGGCCAAAGCGATGGATACGACTGAGCGACTAAGCACACACACACATTTTGTTTACCCATTTACATCCAGTTTCATCACTTCATGGCAAAGAGATTGGGAAACAGTGAAAACAGTGAGAGACTTTATTTTGGGGGGCTCCAAAATCACTGCAGATGGTGACTGCAGCCATGAAATTAAAAGATACTTGCTACTTGGGAGAAAAGCTATAATAAACCTAGACCACATATTAAAAAGCAGAGACGTTACTTTGCCAACTAAGGTTCGTCTAGTCAAAGTTATGGTTTTTCCAGTAGTCATATATGGACTGTGAGACTTGGACTATAAAGAAAGCTGAGTGTGGAAGAATTGATGCTTTTGAACTGTGGTGTTGGAGAAGACTCTTGAGAGTCCCTTGGACTGCAAGGAGATCAAACCAGTCAATCCTAAAGGAAATCAGTCCTGAATATTCATTGGAAGGACTGATGTTGAGGCTGAGACTCCAATACTTTGGCCAGCTGATGTGAAACAACTGACTCATTGGAAAAGACCCTGAGGCTGGGCAAGATTGAGGGCAGGAGGAGAAGAGGACGACAGAGGATGAGATGGTTGGATGGCATCACCGACTTGATGGACATGAGTTTGAGTAAACTCCGGGAGTTGGTTATGGACAGGGAAGTCTGGAGTGCTGCAGTCCATGGGGTCACAAAAAGTCAGATACTACTGAGAGAGTGAACTGAACTGATGGTAACTTTGTGTGTAACGTTTAATGAAATTGCCAAAAATTTTCTGTAGTGACTGCACTAGGTTGCAATCCCTCCAACAGTTGTTGTTCAGTCACTAAGTTGTATCATACTCTAGACTGCAACAAACCAGACTTTTCTGTCATCCACCATCTCACAGTTTGCTCAAATTCATTTCCACTGAGTTGGTGATGCTATCTAACCATCTCATCCTCAGCTGTCCCCTTCTCCTGCTTCATTCTTTGCCAGCATTAGGGTCTTTTCCAGTGAGTTGGTTCTTCCTATCAGGTGCCCAAACTATTGGCGCTTCAGTAACCATCTTTCTAATGTTCAGGGTTGATTTCCTTTAGGATTCACTGGTTTGATCTCCTTGCAATGCAAGGGACTCTCAAGAGTGTTCTCTAGAACCACAATTCAAAAGCATCAATTCTTCGCCTCTCAGCCTTCTTTATGATCCAACTCTCACATCCGTACATGACTACTGGACGCACCATAGCTTTGACTACCTGGACCTTTGTCAACAAAGTGAAATCTCTGATTTTTAATACACTGTCTAGGTTTGTCATAACTTTTCTTTCAAGGAGCAAGTGTCTTTTAATTTCATGGGTGCAGTGTTTTGGAGCCCAAGAAAATAAAGTCCGTCACTGTTTCCATTGTTTCCCCATCTATTGGCCATGAAGTGATGGGACTGAATGTCATCCATGATCTTAGTTTTTTTGAATGTTGTTTCAAGCCAGCTTTTTCACTCTCTTCTTTCACCCTCATCAAGAGCCTCTTAGTTCCTCTTCACTTTCTGCCATTAGAGTGGTATCATTGGCATACCAGAGGTTGTTGATACAACATGAGGGTTGCAGTTTCTTCAGGTTTTCACCAACAATTGTTATTTTCTGTCTTCTTGATTACAGCCATACTAGTGGGTGCAAAATGTTCTCTCATTGTGGTTTTGATTTGCATTTTCTTTTTGACAAAGTGTTGAATATATATTGATGTATTTACTTAGAGATAGAACTATTTAAATTATCTTATTTGGAGAAATGTCTTTCTCCAATTTTTAATTTGAATATTTGCCTCCTCATTAGAGAGTTTAAGAATTGTTTATGTATTTTGAATACACATCTTTTTTCAGATATGATTTCCAAATATTTTCCCTAAAGCTGTGGCTTGTTTTTTTTTTTTGTTTGTTTTCTTAATAATGTTATTTAAAGCACAGCAATTATTTAAACAAAATTGAATTAGCTAAATTTTTTCATTTTATTAATCAGCTTTTGTTTTTTTTTTAATCGTGCTTTTAATATCATGCCCAACAATCTTTAGCTAGCTCAATTCACAAATATTTTCTCCTAAACATTTTGTATTTTTAGATCTTACGTTTAGGACTACAATTCCTTTTAATGTTTTTTAAATTTTTGTTTATGGGAAGAGTTAAGAGTCTAAATTCATATTGTTATATGTGGATATTCAGTTGTCCCAGCACCATTTGTTGAAAATACTATCATTTCTCATTGAATTGCCTTGGCACCTTTGTCAAAAATCAAATGACCAAATATGTGAAGGCTTGTTTCTGGAGTCTTAATTCTGTTCCATTGATCTGTACATCTATTCTAGTGACAGTTCTACACTGTTGGTAAGTAGCTTTCTGATAAGTTTTGAAATCATTAAGTGTAAGTCTTTCAAATTAGCTCATCCTTTGCAGGATTGCTTTGGCAATCCTAAGTATAAATTGAATCTTATTAGACACACTTTGTCTTTCTTGTTCTTGGATCTCTGTCTTAATATTTCTAGCACACCTCTGTATTGTTTGCCTCAACGAGTACCTAAACCTCATGATTCATGGGATGTTGAGGCAGAGTACTGAGGAAGTTCTTGCCTCAGTAGTGGAGGATAATTATTACTAGTTAGAGCAATACTCTGGACCCAGGTAACATTCATAAAAGAAAGATCTGGAAGCATCAGTCTGTTTTAAGGTAACTTCCTTCCAGAGTAGAGCTCAGGAAAATTACAAGAATATGAAAAATTTTCTAGTACCGAATGAGGTAAAATTTACTATATCTGACATCCAAGTAAATATTACAGCACATAAAAAGAAGCAGGGAAATATAAACCATAATAAATAGAATTATTGGCCAGCTAAATCATTAATACTGATACCTATGTTAAAATTATCAGACAATGACACTGAAACTGTTATTGTAACTGTATTCTGTTTATTCAAAAAGTTATGCAGAGACATAAAGTATATGCAAAAACAATCCAAAGAAGATACAGATTCACCACAATTCCAACCAAAATCCCATCAGGATCTTTTGTAGAAATTGACAGGCTCATTTTAAAATTAACATAGGAATGCAAAGTAGTTAGAATAGTCAAAAAATTTTTGGAAAAGGAAAATGTGTTGATGATAATACACTGCTTGATTTCTAGATTTATTAATAAGGAAAACAGTATGTTATTGGCATAACTATAGACCAATAACTGATACGTAAGGTCCAGAAATAGATCTGTGTATGTTGGACAACTGAATTTTGACAAAGATGCAAATGCAGTATGGTGCAGAAAACCTAGTCTTTGCAATAAATAGTGCTGGGATGTAGAAGTCACAAGCCAAAAACAACAACAACAACAACAACAACAACAACAAAAAAAAACCCTGAATTTGTAGCCATACCTAACATGATATGGCAAAAGTAAATCAAAATAGATAGATCATTAAGTCATGTTCTTCCTTCCTTATAGAAGATATAACAACAGATATGCACATGGAAAGATATATACCATTATTCATTGCTGTTGTTGTTGTTCAGTCACTAAATCATGTCCAGCTCTTTGCGACCCCATGAACTACAGCATGCCAGGCCTCCCTGTCCCTCACCATCTCCTGTAATTCACCCAAGTTCGTGTCCATTGAATCAGTGATGCCATCTAACCATCTCATCCTCTGCTGCCCTCTTCTCCTTTTGCCTTCAATTTTTCCCATCATCGGGGTCTTTTCCAATGAGTCGGCTGTTCGCATCAGTGGCCAAAGTATTGGAGCTTCAGCTTTAGCAGTAGTCCTTCCAATGGGTATTCAGGGTTAATTTCCCTTATGATTGACTGGCTTGATCTCTTTGCAGTCCAAGGGACTCTCAAGCATCTTCTCCAGCACCACAATTCGAAAGCATCTGTTCTTTGGCATTCAGCCTTCTTTATGGTCCAACTCTCACATCCATATATGACTACTGGAAAACTATGGCTTTGCCTGTATGGACCTTTGTTGGCAAAGTGATGTGTTTGCTTTGTAATACACTGTTTAGGCTTGGCATGGCCTTCCTTCCAAAAAGCAAGCATCTTCTAATTTTGTGGCTGAAGTCACCATCCACAGTGATTTTGGAGTCCAGGAAGAGAAAATTTGTCACAGCTTCTACTTTTTCCCCTTCTATATTTGTCATAAAGTGATAGGACTGGATGCCATGATCTTTGTTTTTTTTAACATTCATTGTTAGGGAAACACAAAATAAAACCAAAATGAGATACTACTATATAAATCTATTAGAATGGCTAAAAAACTTACCACTTCAATTGTTGCTGAAGATTTGGGGGAACTGAGACGCTTGTATACTGCTAGTGGGAATGTGAAATTAAATTGGGTTGGCCAAAAAGTTCTTTTGGGTTTTTCCATAAGATATAGAAAAGTCAGAACAAACTTTTTGGCCAACTTGATACAACCATTTTGAAGAAGTTTAGCAGTTCCTTATACATTTAAACACACATCTACCATATTATCCATTCATTATACTCCTAAATATCTAAAGGAAATGAAGGTATATTTTAAATAAAATACTTGTTTGCAAAGATTTTAGCATCCTTAATTTTAATAGGCCATACCTGGGAAGAATCCAAGGGGTATCAGGTGATGTGTAAACATTCACCTATAATGGACTGCTACTTAGTAATATAAAGGAATAGACTATTGACACATGAAACATCTTAAATAGATCTCCAGAGAACTTGCTAAATGAAAGAAACCAGAGAAAAAAACACATATTCTGTATTATTCCACTCATACTAAAGTCTGGAAAATGCAGCCTGATCTATAGTGACATAAAGCAAATGAGTGGTTGTCTGGAGAGGGGGAATACAGAGGATGGAGGTAGGGAGAAACTATGAAAGGGCACAAGAATACTTTTTGGAGTTATGTAAAAACTTTGGGCATTTAAAGAGAAAACAAAATTTAAATAATGAGTCATGGGAAAGTTGCCAATTTCTGTAAATTCTGGATAAGTGAACATAGATGCCTTCATGAGAGTGGAGAGGGTGTTGGAGTATGCAAATTTGTGTACTGAGATGAGTTATAATTAGTGTTAGTAATTTTGTCATGTACTTTTCCATATAATCAGAATCTATTTGAATTTTGGCCAATAACCTCTAACCATCAAGTTATGAACATCTTTATGAAACACTCTGTTTATTTCTGATATTATAGTAAATATTTTAAGTGCTATTTTTAATGAATTAATTGATCAAAATATAGTGTGAATACTTATAAAAATAAGTCAATGAATACATTTGTCAGCAATTAAACTTAGTAACTTTTTGTTTTTTCAGGGCCCTCTGTCCTTAACTTTGGTGATGTTTGTGTGAACTCAACAAATACTCATCTACTACATATTATTAATATGCTACCAATTCACATTCTGATCCAATTAGATGTCAGTTTGGAAGAACTTCAGAAAACTAACCAATTTTCATATGTGATTCCACCTACAACTAGTACTTGTATTTCAATGATATTTGAATCTCCCACCATTGGAAAATTTTGGAAGTAGGATTTATTTTCAAATTTCTGCTTGCTAGAATTAAAAATGTCCTTTTGTATATTTGCCCCAATTATTTTTGTATATGTCATATTTGGTTCTAAAAGGTAGAAACTATATGTGCAGCAATTTGTGGATTCATATTTCAGTCTAATTACCTTTCATAATTATTTTGATTTCTTTTTCACCAAGAATTATGGATATCAATCCATAATATATGCATTTTTACATGTACCTGAAGTCCGTCATTCAGTTAAGAGCTGTTATCCATTTAATTTGGATGCTTTTGCTCTGTTACAGGTCTTTCACCTTCACAGTGAACAATATGCCTGGTGGACACATCTTGGTGATGGCAGTTGTCCTGCCAGTAAGACTTCAGCTATCTTCTAATGAGCTGATACTGAGACCACAAGGCTTCTTGGTGAAAACATGTTTTAGGGGGACGGTGAGGATGTATAATCATCAGAATTACTTTGTCAAATTTAAATGGCAACCGATAAATACAGGAAAGGGGATGGCATTTTCCATTCGTCCAGCTAAAGGTAATAGTTTATTCTGTTCGTTTGATTTAGACATTGATTTATTCGTGTGTCCAGGCCTTAGTCATATCTTAAGTGTATACTGTATAAAGATGCTAAGAATGTATAAGTACATCACATATGATCTTGTGACAATGGGACATTGCTGCCCTCTTGGCTTCCCTGTGTCCTTTCCTCCCCCTCCCTCTCCCTACCTCTTTATCTCTAATTTAGGAATAGTCTTCATTTGAGATCTAAGTAGACTATACTTCAGATCACAAAGGAGTCCTGGTGTGTAGAATTCTTGTCTTAGGGGATTTTCCTGGGAATATCAGTCATTTCCAAATCATGACTTTTGTATAACTCTACTGACACAGTGCTAAAGAATTTGCCTGCAATACAGGAGATGCAGGAGACGTGGATTTGATCCCTGGGTTGGGAAGATCCCCTGGAGGAGGAAATGGCAACCCACTCCAGTGTTCTTGCCTGAAAAATCCCATGGACAGAGGAGCCTGGCAGGCTACAGTTCATAGGGTCACAAAGACTCAGACATGACTGAGTGTGCACCAGTGTTGTGAATGGGGAGTGTTATAAACAAGCTTGAGTGTTAATTTAAGGGACTTCGTTGGTGGCTCAGATGGTAAAGAATCTGCCAGTAATGCAGGAGACCCAGGTTCAATCCCTGGGTTGGGAAGATCCCCTGGAGAAAGAAATGGCAACCCACTCCAGTATTCTTGCCTGGAGAATTTCATGGACAGAGAAGCCTGGCAGGCTACAGTCCATGGGATCACAAAGAGTTGGACACTGAGCAACTGAACACTTTAATACTTCACTTAATTTTAGTGCAGATATATGCAGAGATGTTAACAAACTTAACAAATGGAGGAGGAGGACTGTTCTTTTATTATGACTGGAGATCATTGATATAACTGTATTTAATCTTTTTATTAATCTGGATAGATTTAGCACAATCCCAGATTATAATTTATTAAGGATTTGAGAAATACTTCCTCTGAATCTTCAGCAGATTCATTTGACCAAGCTCTGTTGTTGTTGTTGTTGTTACTAATACTGGAAATATTGGGTCCTGCCCCAATCTAGAGAAAAGCTGAGTAAATGATCAGAGAAGAAAAAGAAATGATTTCTGTAGATTTCAGAGATTGTAGATAAACCTTCTCCAGTTTTTTTCAGCAGGTGTCAGATGTAGTTATATTATCTGCATTCCAGATATAGGTTCGGATCAAGCATGTGATATGGCACTAAAGGTATCTGAAAAGCACTGTGCATAGGCACTTTTCCTTGTATTTCTCCATCCTAGCCAGGGTTGAGTTGTTGGACTTCCCCCTTTCGGCTACCATGAAAATGCTGTGACAAAGATTCATTTGTCAAAAGTGGAATTACAGTGCAGTTGTAAAAGAATCTGCTTGCCAATGCACAGGTTGCAAGAGACACTATTATAGAATTAACAAGTTTTTAACTTAGAGGCTTCCCTGTTGGCTCAGGGGTAAAAATTCCACCTGCCAAAGCAAGAGATGCAGGTTTGATCACTGAGTCAGGAATATTCCCTGGAGGAGGAAATGGCAACCCATTCCAGTATTCTTGCCTGGAGCCTGGTGGACTATAGTTTATGGGGTCATGGAGAATCAGACACGACTGAGCACACACATACACAAACTTCTCCTAGTTTTTAGTACTATGTTTTTACAGAAAAAATTTAATGTTTGTTTTTCTTTGGGTTGCTCATAACATGTCTTACTTTTTTCTTTTTAAATCAAAGCAAAAACAAAGACATTTAATTCCAAATACAGTATGAGTCAGCCGCAATTGAGAATGCAAAGAACAAAAATAACAGTGTTTATGTGAATGATATCATTAGCCTTTAAGTGGTTTTAGTTTTTTTAGAACATAAATGCTACAATACTTAAATGTATTTCATATATTATTGAGGAAAGTATGCCTGATTAATACACATAGATTTCTCTTATATCATTTTCTGTTTGATGCTCAGAATTTTCATAAAATAATCAACTTTATTTTTGCCTGTTTGTATAGATCATTTTATTGAGTCACATGTTTCTTGTGTCCCTTTTGTTATATTGTGTTGGGGAAGAAGACATTTTCTTCTACCCTTTAGTCGTGTCCGATTCTTCGCAACCCCATGGCCTCCCTGACCATCACCAGCTCCCGGAGTCTACTCAAACTCATCTCCATTGAGTCGGTGGTGACATCCAACCATCAAATCCTCTGTCCTCCCCTTCTCCTCCTGCCTTCAAACTTTCCCAGCATCAGGGTCTTTTCCAATGAGTTAGCTCTTCACATCAGGTGGCCAAAGTATTGGAGTTTTGGCTTCAACGTCAGTCCTTCCAATGAACACCCAGGACTGATCTCCTTTGGGATGGACTGGTTGGATCTCCTTGCAGTCGAAGGGACTCTCAAGAGTCTGCTCCAACACCACAGTTCAAAAGCATCAATTCTTCGACACTCAGCTTTCTTTATAGTCCAAAAGTCACACCCATACATGACCACCGGAAAAACCATAGCCTTGATGAGTTGGACCTTTGTTAGTAATGTGTCTGCTTTTTAATATGCTGTCTAAGTTGGTTATAACTTTCCTTCCAAGGAGCAAGTGTCTTTTAATTTCATGGCTACAATCACCATCTGCAGTGATTTTGGAGCCCCAAAAATAAAGTCAGCCACTGTTTCCCCGTCTATTTGCCATGAAGTGATGGGACCAGATGCCATGATCTTAGTTTTCTGAATGTTGAGCTTTAAGCCAACTTTTTCATTTCCTCTTTCACTTTCATCAAGAGGCTCTTTAGTTCTTCTTTGCTTTCTGCCATAAGGGTGATGTCATCTGCATATCTGAGGTTATTGATATTTTTCCCAGAAATCTTGATTCCAGCCTGTGCTTCATCTAGCCCAGCGTTTCTCATGATGTACTCTGCATATAAGTTAAATAAGCAGGGTGACAATATAGAGCCTTGACGTATTCCTTTTCCTATTTGGAACCAGTCTGTTGTTCCATGTCCAGTTCTAGCTGTTGCTTCCTGACCTGCATACAGATTTCTCAAGAGGCAGGTCAGGTGTTCTGGTATTCCCATCTCTTTCAGAATTTTCCACAGTTTATTGTGATCCACACAGTCAACGGCTTTGGCATAGTCAATAAAGCAGAATTAGATGTTTTTCTGGAACTCTCTTGTTTTTTCGATGATCCAGCAGATGTTGGCAATTTGATCTCTGGTTCCTCTGCTTTTTCTAAAATCAGCTTGAACATCTGGAAGTTCACGGTTCACATACTGTTGAAGCCTAGCTTGGAGAATTTTGAGCATTACTTTACTAGAATGTGAGATGAGTGCAATTAAGAATTAAATTGACAGATTAACAGGAGAAAAGCAAAGGTTTAATAACATATATTGATGAGAGAGACCCAGGAAAACCCAATAACTTGACAGAGTGGCCAAAATCCTCACCTTAAATACCATCTTCAACTAAAGGCAAAAGTGGATGTTTGGGATAGTGGCTTGGGGCTTCAAAGGAGAGAAAACAAATACACATGGAGGTGAGATAGCAAGTGTTTGGGAAACAGATATTTTCTGGGTCATGCAGAGACCATGGTACCCATAGTGGACTTTATCTCCAGGCCCAGCTGAGACTCCTCTATCACATCTAGCCCATATTCTTTGCAGGTATCTCTGGTGGTAGCTCTGTTCTTGGAACTAGCCCTTTATCTAAATTTTTCAGGCACTTAAGGAGGAGGTAACAAGAAAAAATTTCCCAAGGCTTCTGTTAAAAATAATCAGCTTAAACTAATCCTCACGCCAAAGAGACACATTTTTGGGTGGCAAATTTTGCTCTCCTAGAATTGCTTTTACATTCTACATAATGCATTTAATCATATCTGTCTCTATATTTTTGTAAACTAAAGTGAAGTGTTATAAGTTAAGTTTTATGTTGTGACTGTCCTTTCTTCTTGAAACATGACAGTTTGGATTTGTTTTATAAGTGGAGAATTTAAGGGTGGATTGATGGTTTCTAAGCATTGGTTTCTAGTTTGACTTTTTCATTAAATAGTGTTTATGTTTCTGCTTGTTATGTGTTCATCCTTGTTGTCTTTAACTGTACTGAACCCCTGAGTCCACTCAGTCCTCAGACGTGTCTTTGTTCAATTCATTCTCACTGTCTGTCTTAATTCTCTCACTCCTTGGCCATTTGCAGTACCTGCCTTGCCAGTATCAGCCTTTCTTAATTCAGTCATCCAGTTTATTTCCCCTCTCCTGCAATGCACATAGTACTCTTGGAGAAATATATATAGCCATGCTGGTTGAAGGGAGAATATTGACCTCAAGCTAACCCTCTTGACATGAATCTGTAATCCCTGTGCTGCTCTCAGCTATTCTCTGAAAGCTCAGGTGTCTTTATAAATAGCACTGACTCTTCTTTGTCAAAGTTTCTTCTCATCACAGTCTTCTTACATCTCTCTCTCCCAGTACCATCACTTAACATCTATTATTCCCGCAGACTTTGTTCTACTGCAGAATTCCTACTCTTCCTTGAGTCACAACATAAATGCCATCTCCTTATGAGTTTCTTCCACTTTCTTGGGCTAATTTAGAATTCCCCCACCACCCCTGTCCCACTCCCATTGTGTATTTGTTATGTCATCTACAACATTTTTGTTTCTGTCTATCTCCTGTTGTGATAGATGTTACTAAGCCCATATCTGTTAACCATTCCCCTTCCTTACGGGGCCCTCATTTTGTTTGTGGAAGCAGTGTTTTTATTTAGATACCTCTTTTCCCCATCCTTTCTTGCCAATGAGATTTGAGCAGAAATTTCTTTTAGTTCCACCCTACTGTTTGAAGTACTTCTGCTTATATTAGCTTGTTTAATCCCTGTAGTGATTCTCTAAGTTAGGTGTAGTTGTTCTCATTTATGCATGAGGACTCTGTGTTACTTAGGTTAAGTAAATTGTCCAAAGTCTCAGCTAGTAAGCATCAGAGCTGAAATTTGAACCAGGGAGTTTGACCTTAGAATCTGCGCTCTTTTAACCACTATGCTTTGATACCTTTCTACACTGAGGAAGGTCACGTGATAAGGAATGGTAGTGTGGGAAGCTAGGAACATTGCTCCTTGAAAGCATTGTCAAGCTGTTAAGGCAGCCCTGGAACATCTGTCTTGGGACTTCTGATTGCCCGAGATAAATAAACTTGTATCTGTGTAATCCTTTGGACTAAGGGGAATGGACTTTTTGTTACTTGTAGACAAATATAATTCTTATGGATCCCAACTAGACCGTTAGCATGAGCAGTTTCTCTTCTTTTCATAAATTATTGTGCCAACCGTAGTATTAGCATTCAAGGGTAATAATAATAACATTTGACACTGGGTGCTTTCTTGGTATCACATACTATATTAGACCCTTTGTGTGTGTGTTGTTACCTCCCTATATATGGCCACTGCAAAGCTAGGAGGTAGGCACTATATCTTTTTCAAAATTGAGGAAACTACAATCATATGTGAGTCAGCCTGACTCAAGGCAAAGTTTGCTGTGATTGTCACTCATCTCTCTGTTAAGTGTCCTGTGCCTTTGAATCTCCTATGATCCTACCTATCTGAGGGAACAGCTTCTAAGTCATTCTTTCCATCAAGTATTTTCTTAGTCCAAAGGAGATGATAATTTCAACAGGTAAAGCAACTCACAGCAAATGTGCCTGATCCTTCCTGGATTCTAAATCTGTTTGAGTTACAGAAATGTGTTAGTAAAAACTACATCAGAAGTTACATCTCTAGGTATGTGAACATTGAAACAAATGAACAAAAGAAGCCTCTTGTTAATGATAATTCCTTCCTCGAAAAAACTGGATGAATGGTGTATTTCAGAGTGTTGAGAAATGTGGAGGGGATGTTTGAATAGGGATCACAAATAATTTTCTACCATATAGATATAAAGTAATTTCTAATCCTAGAGTGTCACTTCATTGATAAATTTTTTCTAAATATTAGCATATTTTTATCAAATATTGTGATATGCCTATTAGAGTATAAGGTGTTCCCTGTATTTTGTTTAATTCAAATAGTTTTAAAATATCATTATATTTATATGCCAGTTCTTATTTTGGGTATTAAAAATTAAATATAATAAAAATGTGGTATAACTTTCTTATTCTCTCTAAATTCTCTGTAGGCACTGTTGAACCATACTCCTCATTGGAATGTGAAGTAACATGGCAGCCGGGTTTTGATTCTCCAGAAAGGGGAGAATTTATTCTTCATGTCAGTGAAGGAAACACGCTGACACTGAAATGTCTTGCACATGTAATGACTTCCTTTGAATATGACTTTTATTTTGAGGGCTCTAAATTGGTTGGTATGCATATGTGTATATGAAAGTGAAAGTGTTAGTCACTCAGTCATGTCTGACTCTGTGCGTCTCCATGGGCTATAGCCCACAAGGCTGTACTGTTCTTGGAATTCTCCAGGCAAGAATAATGTAGTGAGTTGCCATGTCCTTCTCCAGGGAATCTTCCCAACCCAGGGATCGAACCCAGGTCTCCTGCATTGCAGGCAGATTCTTTACTGTTTGAGCTACCCAGGAAGCCAAACAACTATGTATATATAGTTGGGTATATATACTATGTTAGTAAAATCTGATGTTGCTTGCAACACTTAGTTAACTAAATTGTCTTAGTATCTTCTTGGAGCCACTTCTCTACCCTAAATGAAGACTTTGCTTAAAAAAAAAAGTGTCATCTTATCTAAAATTAACTCAGAAATCCACGGCTTTTATACCAGTAATACTAGATTCTTATTAGAGACTTGATATGTATTAGAGAGTCTGTAAATATACCATAACACCATGGGAGCTGCTTAAAATTAAATTGTTTCATTAATAAATGCCAATAATAGAGAAAATTATTTTTTTGCCCTATTGTATTGCATTTTTAGTATTCTCAGTTCAGTTCAGTCGCTTAGTCATGTCTGACTGTTTGTGACCCTGTCCATCCCTGTCCATCACCAACTCCTGGGGCTTGCTCAAACTCATGTCCATCAAGTCAGTGATGCCATCGAACCATCTCATCCTCTGTCGTTCACTTCTCCTCCTGCTTTCAGTCTTTCCCAGCATCAGGGTCTTTTCAAATGAGTCACTTCTTCACATCAGGTGGCCAAAGTATTAGAGCTTCAGCTTCAGTATCAGTCCTTCCAATGAATATTCAGGACTGATTTCCTTTAGGATTGACTGGTTTGATCTCCTTGCAGTCCAAGGGGCTCTGAAGAGTCTTCTCCAACACCACAGTTCAAAAGCATCAGTTCTTTGGCACTCAGCTTTCTTTCAGGTCCAACTCTCACATCCACACATGACTTCTGGAAAAACCATAGCTTTGACTATACAGACCTTTGTCAGCAAAGTAATGTCTCTGCTTTTTAATATGATGTTTAAGTTTGTCATAGCTTTTCTTCCAAGAAGCAAGTGTCTTTTAATTTCATGGCTGCAGTCACCATCTGCAGTGACTTTGGAGTCCCCCAAAATAAAGTCTCTCACTGTTTCCCTTGTTTTCCCATCTGTTTGCCTTGAAGTGATGGGACCGGATGCCATGATCTTAGTTTTCTGAATGTTGAGTTTTAAGTCAGCTTTTTCACTGTCCTCCTTCACTTTCATTAAGAGGCTCTTTAGTTCCTCTTCACTTTCTGCCGTAAGGGTGGTGTCATCTGCATATCTGAGGCTATTGATATTTCTCCCAGCAATCTTGATTCCAGTTTGTGCTTCATCCAGCCCAGCATTTCGTGTGATATACTGTGCATATAAGTTAAATAAGCAGGGTGACAAAATACAGCCTTGACATACTCCTTTTCCAGTTTGGAACCATTCTGTTTTTCCATGTCCGGTTCTAACTATTATTTCTTGACCTGCATATCGATTTCTCAGGAGGCAGGTCAGGTGGTCTGGTATTCCCATCTCTCGAAGAATTTTCCACAGTTCATTGTGATCCACACAGTCAGAGGCTTTGGCGTAGTCAATGAAGCAGAAGTAGATGTTTTTCTGGAATTGTCTTGCTTTTTCTAATATCCAGTGGATGTTGACAATTTGATCTCTGGTTCCTCTGCCTTTTCTGAGTCCAGCTTGAGCATCTGGAAGTTCTTGGTTCATGTGCTGTTGAAGCCTGACTCGGAGAATTTTGAGCATTACTTTTCTAGTGCGAGATGAGGGCAATTGTGTGGTAGTGTGAACATTCTTTGGCATTGCCTTTCTTTGGCATTGGAATGAAAACTGACCTTTTCCAGTCCTGTGGCCACTGCTGAATTTTCCAAATTTGCTGGCATATTGAGTGCAGCACTTAAACAGCATCATCTTTTAGGATTTGAAATAGCTTAGCTGGCATTCCATCACCTCTACTAGCTTTGTAATGATGCTTCCTAAGGCCCACTTCACTTCACATTCCAGCATGTCTGGCTCAAGGTGAGTGATCACACCATCATGGTTATCTGGGTCACAGCAAAGTGAATCAGTTAGACCTATACATATATCCACCCTTTCCTTTTTTCTGTTTTAGATTCTTTTCCCATGTAGGTCATTACAGAGTATTGCGGAGAGTTCCCGGTGCCAGGTGGCGCTAGTGGTAAAGAACCTGCCTGCCAATGCAGGTGGTATAAGAGACGTGAGTTCCATCCCTGAGTTGGAAAGATCCCCTGGAGGAGAGCATGGCAACCCACTCCTGTATTCTTGCCTGGAGAATACCATTGTCAGAGAAGCCTGGCGAGCTACACTCCGTAGCATTGCAAAGAGTCAGACGTGACTGAAGTGACTTAGCATGCACGCACCCATTTTGGTCATTGCACAGTGTTGAGTGGAGTTCCCTGGGCTGTACCGTAGGCCCTTATTAGTTATCTATATTATATATACTAATGTGTATATGGGGCTTCCCTGGCGCCTCAGATGGTGAAGAATCTGCCCACAATGTGCGAGACTCAGGTTCGATTCCTGGGGCGGGAAGATCCCCTGGAGAAGGGAATGGCTACCCCCTCCAGTATTCTTGCCAGGGGAAATTTCATGGATGGAGAAGCCTGGTGGGCTACAGTCCATGGGGTTGCAAAGAGTTGGACATGACTGGGTGGCACAGATACTCACATATAATGTTTACATGTCAATCTCATAATTTATCCCCTTCCTTCCCCCCCCCACCAGTAGCCATAAAGTATCATTTATTAATTATTGTGTCTCAGATATGATGCACAATGATGTTAATGTATTATTTAATTTAATCCTTGTAACAACTCTATAAGGCATATATTAATTACTCAGTTGCTGGGTGTAGAAATGGAGCAGCAGAATGGTTAACTATCTAGTACAAGTTCATGTGTGCAGTAAATGCCCTACTTGAATTTATATCCAAAGTGATCTGCCTACACAGCGTTTGCCTTTACCCTCTCATAAAATTTGATTTCCACTTTCCCTACAGTGGATTGATTAAGAGTTAAACTCTGAGATATCAGAATATTGAATTAATTTATTTTGGCAAATTTTTGAAGCCCTTGAAGTTAAGTGAACTGTGAAGTGTTACTCTTAAGAAAATAAAGATGGGAGGAACACAAAATGATTAAATAAAATGTTCATTTAAGGTTTGTCATTAACTGTGAAGGACTTACTTGACCATTTGATCTTTTGTTAGCTTTGTTTAAAAGGTTATTATTCCAGTTATCCAAATCATGTTCTTTAACTATAAGAATATATTAAAATCTCCTTATACAATAAGAAATAATACGTATTGCTTACATTAGCATCTAGATTAATTGGGTTTCCCTGGTGGCTCAGACAGTTAAGAATCTGCCTGCAATGCAGGAGACCAGAGATCGATCCCTGGGTTGGGAAGATCCCCTGCAGATGGAAATGGCAACCCACTCCAGTATTCTTGCCTAAAAAATCCCAAGGACAGAGGAACCTGGTAGGCTACAGTCCATGGGGTCACAAAAGAGTCGGACATGACTGAGTAACTAACACTTTCACTTTTCACTTTCTAGAGGAGTTAGAAATTTTGAGTTTTAGTTTGCATTGGTTATTGTTTTCCTTTAAAATGGGAGAGGTGGATAATATCAGCATTTCCAAAAAAACATTTTATGTTCCAGTAGTTCTGTGAAGTGGTTTGTGTAGGACCCCATGAGGGACTCCTGTGCTTAAATAATTCTGTGCATCACAGTGAACTACTTCCCCACTGTCAGATCAGCAAAGTAGGCATTATCAGTATATTAAGCTCTTTGAGAAGACTTCTAGTAGAAACTTGCCTGGATAATATTTTGACACACACATTATTTCCCATACTTACATGATTATTGAGCTTTTTCCTTTTGCATAGCACATAGGAAACCTTGTGCATAGGGGGGTAGGTGATCTCTATTATCCCCTACAGTGACTGTTCTACACGATTCTCAGTCATGGATTTACTTCCTCCTTGGAGTTTTCTTGCTCTCCCTGCCTTCTTCAGTTTAGGATTACATTATAAATATTCAATTATTTTCTCTTAAACACACCATAAAATCTGATAACACTTCATATTTTAGAAATTTCTATGAAGCTGAAAAAGCTTGAATTATCTGATGGGGGATAAAAAAGCATGTTTACAATTGTTTCAATTTCACATTCTCTTTCTTCTTATTATTAGCTTGGACACTCCAAGGTAACAGTTTTAGAGCCACGGATACTCTTTAGCAATAGCCCTCAAGGGCTAACAACTTGGAGGAAAGCCATTCTTCACAATGTAGGACAAAACCATGCTTATTTCAAGGTAATATAGAATCTTGGAATCTTACTTGAATCAGATCATATTATAACTTGAAATATGTGTTTACTATGAGTTCTATGCCATTAATACTTTAGCGTTTATACATCGGCTAATGTTAATATTTTGGTTTTTCATATGAGATTTATCTGTATACATTTCATCTATTGTAATACTTTGTCCTTTTAATTTCCCATAAAATTTGCCTCTTTCTCTGTCTGTCTCTTCCTTAGTCTCCCCTTTTTTTCTGCTCTTACCCCTCTTTTTTCTTTCTTTTTGTTGTTTTATTGAAAAAAAAGATGATGTAGAAAAAAAATGGAAAAAACGTACATTTTTTGTTATATTCAGTATAGCTTTTCCTTTTTTCCCCTCATTTTCACTCTGTCATTAAGACTGTTACGGTAGTAAGTGGGACCTAGATCAAGATCATTCGAAAGATACTCTGTTTATAGTTATGACTCCTGATTTAATTTGTGCAGTGTGTGATATTTAAATTGAGCTTCCTGGTGGCTCAGATAGTTCAGAATCTGACTGCAATGCAGGAGACCTAGGTTCGATCCCTGGGTGGCTGTTGTTGTTTTTTAAACCGACATTAAAATCTCCTAATAGTGACAGTGGACGTTAGTATTTGAGAGCTTTCTTTCAAGCTTTATATTTACATATCTTCTGCCCCAACAAGCAAAGGAGAGTACCCTTTCTACTCTGTTGCTTCAGAATTAGTTCTGAGATCTTAGGGGGTGTTCCATCATCCTAAAAATATCTTAACCAGTTTCCCTTCAAATTATTCTGACTTAAGAAATGACAGTTAAACCTAAATTGGCTTCTGACAAACCATACCTTAACTCTTTTGGTAAGTTACTTTTTTGAAGGTTGAAATGATATCTTAGGCACTAGGCTATGAAGTAAATAATAAAGAAGAGGAGGTTACTTTATCATCTTGCCTTCCCACTAACTTTGCTTTCAGTTTTTTAGGATCAGGGCAAAGGCAGCTATCAAAATAGTATCTAGAATTTTGGCATCTCTCCAACAGACATATCTCATTCTTTTGTAAGTTTTTCAAAATCTCGAAGCCACTTCATTATCCTATTTGGATCAGAAGATGTCGCTGCTGCAAGTTCTGTTTGTGGGTTAAGGGTGCAAATCCTTGTTGAAATTCAAAATGTTTGTCTGCTGTTTGAAAATCTTATTTCACATCATCTCATGCCCCATACCTGCAGGTCATCTCTCTGTGTAGTGGTGTAGAAGCAACCTGTGAAAATTTTGGAATGATAACTTTAAAGGATAATGTCACATTTCTACAAATTTTTGATTATAGATTTGTGACCAGAGCCTTTTGTCTATGATTAATATTGTTCCATCACAAGGAATCATCCCACTGGGGGGACTAACTGTTCTCAATATCTCCTGTACTCCCACCATTAAAGAAAAATTTGACACAAGAGCAAAGGTATGTTTATGCATATGTGTTCTCACTTCTTATGTATGTCTCTATGGATTTGTTTGCTTATGATATTTATAATAGTAGGTATAATTTGTAGAAAATATTTTTGATGAAAGTTGCTAATGGAAGTTTCTACTAAGTTGAAATGGATACCTTTCATCAATCTGAGGGCTTTTTCACATCAACTTGGAATATTTGCTATCTCTAACTTGTGACAAGGCCTCACTAGTCACAAAGCAAAGGATTGTTTTCTCCATGGTATTAAAAGATGCCTTAGAAAAAATAATCAATTTTTGGATGCTAATTCTAAATAGCTTTGATAACTATAGGAATTATAGATAAATTGTATATGAGGTTAACATCTCTATTTTATAGCACATAAAATTTCTTACTATTTTATGTTCTGGGAATTATGTGAATAAAAAGATACTACCTTGATTTTAAGGACTTCTCCAAGAGTTCATTAAACAGAAAAAAAAAACATGTAAGATGAGTCTGTAATAAATGTTCTTTATTAAATAAACTCATGGAATACTCTTAATCTTCAATCTGATGATCAACTGTGTGCATTAACCCACATTTAAAAAAATAACATGTATGCTATCATCAGATCAAAATGAATGGCTTAAGATGTATCCCCCATTTTATCCTTCAATTTCTCATAACTGTTAATTCTTAAATAACATGTGGCTTAATATAATAAATATCAATTTACTTGGCCCTGAAATAAATAACCTAATAATTATATCCTACCTTTATAAAGAATTTATGTACTGAAAGATGTTTATAAATTATGTATTATGATATATGGTCTGATATTTGGACAGAATTTTTTATATACTATTCTGGAAAAAGTAAAAAATATAGCCACTAAAGTATAGGTTTTACTGAGAGATTAATTGCCACTGTATTTCAGAGAACTATACTGCTTTTACAAAGTTTATCTTTTTAACATTATAATATAATGAGATTCATTTATTCATCTATTCCCTGGGTATTTATTGGGCATACATTATGTGTCAGGCTCTTCTGTACATGCTAGGATTGTAAAATTGAACAAGATAACTAGAGTCCTTGTTCTCTGAGAGTGTACAATCTGATGGAGGATGCAAATAACTCAAAATTAAAAGATAGTATAGTAAGTATAATGATGGAGAAATGTAGCAGGCTGAGGGAGTACACAGGAGAGGTTTGCAGCCAGGCTTAACATGGTCAAGGGAAGTTTCCTAGGGGAAGATGCATCTAAAAGGCACTGAAGTTAAAAATCATTCAGAGAAAAGGGATAGTAGTGGGGTGAAGGAGGAGAAGAGGAAAAAGTACTTAAGGAACCATGATCAGATATAGGAGCAGAGAGCGAGCTACAAGGCAGATATGAAAAAACTTAGTTTAACATGGCTTTATAGATGGAATGGATGATAGTGGAGAAAGATGTAAATATTTAGAGACCTGTATAAATTTTAGGTCATACAGGTCCTTATCAACAACTTAGAAGCTCAAAATTTTAACTTAAGAACTAGGAGTCTTTAAGCATGGAGTTTCACAATCAGATTTGCATTTTTCAGACATCACTTGGGTTATAGAGTAGCGTGAAACTGGGACCAGTGCGGTTACTAGTCTGGTAATGATGTCCAGGCAGGAGAAGATTGTGTTCTTTGTTAGGAGACAGTATTCTAGACAAATTCATGTCAAATTTAAGAGATGAACATTTAGGGTTTGATGATTAGAAGGGGTCACATATAAGTAAAATAAGTTAGTCAAGAGTTAGACAGATGAACTACATTCAATGAGAAAGAGATTAGAGGATGAGTAGCAGATTTTAGAGGGAAATCATGAGTTTGAAGCACCTTTTGCATCCCTATGTAGAGATGTCTAATATGTCTAATAAAGAAGCCATTGCTTATGCATATTGGTCTGAAGGCTAAGGATTAATTTTAGAGATGATAGAGATTATTTCTGTTACCCATCTAAAGACCAAGAATGAGTGTAAGTGGGCTGAATATATTGATGAGAAGTTGAAATGATAAACTTTGTAAGAAGTTAAATAAAAAAGGAAATAGAGACAGGTAAATTGGGGCTGATCTGGAAAGAAATCACACATCACAGACTTAGATGTCCCTGTGACATGTGACATCCTAGAATTGATGTCTCTGAAAATGGGCAAGAAAGCAGGGATGGTAGAGGATTGTGAGAAATAGAGGCACAGATGAGTATATGGTTTCTGGGGCCATGAATTTGTGAGGAGTGGTATCGGTTAGGGTACAGATGAAGTCTTGGGAGATAGAAAGGTCAACGAGCAATGAGTGAGGGTGGTGAGTGTGTTATGGTAGCCTGGAATTTTTCATGACCCACGAATGTAGAGGTAAGTAAAAGGCAGCCATGGGGGGTTGAGATTTACATGCAGCATTCATCAGCGAAGCACATACTGATTTGTAATTACTTCTGAAGCATTGACTTATGCTTCTTATGATTTTAGTCAAGTATTTTGTTTATGTACTATATATTCTATAAATAAAATATAGAAATCATGTAGTATTATGAATTAAGCAGTTCAGTTAATAAGACTGTCTAGATGGCACTCTGAAACAATGGTATTTTATGGTTTGTCTATAAACAATGTCACTGATTCTGTTGAAAGAGTGAAATTCATCCATAACTCTTTTGTAATTATAGTATACATTTAGATTTAAAATCTTGAAGTTGATTGCTACCAATCTCATGTAAATAGGGCTTTCAAGGAATGATATTTTCATGCTTCAGATTTTGATTAGACAATTATGTGTTCATGTAATTTTCAGGCCTTGTTTTTTAGGAATTATACACCTAAATTTTTATTTCACTATATTAATTTTCTTGAAAGAGATTGTTCAGGCAGTTCTTGGTCCACGGTTAGCCACTGCTATTTTCAACTTTTGTGACCTCAAGCCTCAGTTTTCCTCACTTGGAAATTAGGGTATTAAGAAAATACTGAAGATTTTTAAAAAAAGATAATGCATTTAGCAGTGTGCTTGGCCTGTAGACTCAGCAATTTTTAGCTGCCCTCATTAGAATTATGGTTGTTTTGGATGTTAGTATCTTTCTATGGAAAGAAGCATGTTGTACTTAGTTTCTTGTTTTAGTTTTGAATATCCTGTTGAAGTTAGGTCAATACAATAAGCTTACGTGGAGTTTGAGGCAGTAATGCCAAGGCAAATGGGTAGAACTCTTCAATCAAATTCACAAGCTGTCAGTCCCATTTGTGGTGGAAGTTTTTAAGAGTTTAAAATTCACTTCTCTTAATTTCAAGTCTACATCCCGAGAAATAGGATGACAACTGCCAGAATAAATCTTGTGACATTTATAGTATGTTATGATTATATAAATCATAAAATGTTATATAAATGTCAGGTAATATTGTACCTGAGAAGTATATGAGTATATTTTAGTGTGGTTTCTGCAGAATTTTATGTTTCTCCTAAACAGGTTGCTATTCGCCGTGCAAATGACATAGACCTTAGGATTGGTGGATCTGTTGAGGTTGCTGATGTTGAAATCCATCCAGTAAGTATGTTGCCTATTTGTAGAATCAGTTTATGAATGTAGTGATTTTTATTGATGTGTCCCTAGTCAGCCCATGTAGGTAAATTTTTTTTATTATATAGTAGTGTGATATAAAAATTAATATATGTAATATAAATGTAAGTAATGAAGCAGAGTACTGAGCAGATTAAATGAAGGTTTAAGAATTCACCACTGAATTTAAGTATCAGAATGGTACCAAAACCATTAAATTATCTATAGGCTTCATCCTGATCCTACCCGTCTTAAGAGATAACCACATTCCTGAATTTTGTCATTATTATCTCTTTATTTTTTCTAATTGGGTTGCCACATATGTATGAATTCCTTAACTGTTTATTATTTAGTTTAGTTTGTTGGTTTCTCAGCTTTATAACAAAGATATATTATCTTTGGTGGGTTACTTTTAATTGAATGTTATGTTTTTAAACTTCATCTTGATTATGTGTAGCTGTATGTTATTCATTATCCCTGGTACTTAATAATCTATTATGTAGACATACTGTAATTTGTAGACTCATTCCATTGTCCATTCAGTTAGTATCTGTTTTTTGTGATTTTCTTTTTTGATATTACAAATACTATAGCTATGAACTTCCCTCATAGCTCAGTTGATAAAAAAATGTGTCTGCAATGCAGGAGACCCAGGTTCAATTCCTGGGTTGGGAAAATCCCCTGGAGAAGGAAATGCTAACCCACTCCAGTATTCTTGCCTGGAAAATTCCATGGGGAGAGGAGCCTGGCAGGCTACAGTCCATGGGGTCACAAGAGTCAAACACAACTTAGTGATTAAATCACCACCACCACCACAGCTATGAACATTCATGTACTTATCTTCTAAGGTACTTATGTAAGAGTTTCTCTAGAGGTAGAGTTTCTGAAATTATATATATATTTGACTGCACAAGATAGTTTCCATGTTTTTTCTCAAGTTTCCATTGCTCCATGTTCCGTTGCTCCATAATTTCTTTGTAAGACTTAATGTTTGCCAGTCTGTTGAGTGTAAAATGGTACCTCACTGTGTTCTTGATTTGCATTTTTTAAAATGTATTTATTTTAAAATTTTTGGTTGCTCTGGGTCTTTGTTGCTTTGTGCAGGCTTTCTCTAGTTGCTGCAAATGGGGGGCCACTCTAGTTATGGTGCTTGGGCTTCTTGTTGCAGTAGCTTCTCTTGTTGTGAAGTATGGGTTCTAGGGCATTCAGTCTTCAGTAATTAAAGCTCATGGACTCAATAGTTGTGGCTTGGAGGCTCAGTAGTTGTGACACATGGCATTAGTTGCTCTGTGACATGTGGAATCTTCCCAGACCAGGAATCAGATCGAACCCGTGTTTCCTGCATTGATAGGTGGATTCTTATTCACTGTGCTACCAGAAAGTCCTGTATTTTCTGAACTATAATCAAATTAATTTTTTGAACTATTCTACGATTGATAGAGTGCACATGCATGCTATTTTTCTTTCAGGCCAGGCCTTCAGATCTGTTCTCATCTATCCAAAGAAACTTTCCCTGATCCTTCAAAAAGCCCATATGTCCCTCCCTTGTGACATTTATAAGATGTTACAAACATCTTAATTTCTGGGAACATGTCCATTGTAGCCATAGTCATATTATTTTCAGCTTATTTGCCCTTTTATTTTTCTCTTCCCCATGACTGGTACCATTCAGGTTCTGAATTAAATTAAGTAGAAATTGATGAGGCTGCTGGTTGCCTCAGGTAGGACCTTACCACAAGTCTGCACTTTAACAACATCACCACAATTTTAGGCTTTAAGTTACAATTTTCTAACCTTTCTTTTATTCAGCATTGAAGGCATGGTAAATCCAGACAGACTGACAGATACTAAGCTAGCTTGGCTATGATAATGGTGATTTCTGGAGTATCCAGATTGTTTTTTTTTTTTTCCATTGCTATGGTGTCCTCCTTTGTACAACATTAGACAAATATGGAGACTTTTAGTACTATATTTCTTTGTGGTAGGCATGTTATGGTATAACTGAGTAATTCATAGGACTTTACATTAATGTATGTTTATCAATATTCCCTAATTATTTTGAATTTTTAAACATTGCTGCCTAGTTACCATTTAAAACCAGTAATCCAGTGTTTCCAGATATTATTAGCAATACATCTAATAATTATGAGGAGAAGGAAATGGCAACCCACTCCAGTATTCTTGCCTGGAGAATCCTATGGATGGAGAAGCCTGGTGGGCTACGGTCCATGGGGTCACAAAGAGTCAGACATGACTGAGTGACTGAAGAGAGAGAGAGAGAATGTGTGTCTTAATATCAATTAGGGAATTTTATCCAAATGAGCCTATGGGAAAGACCAAAGTGGGATAAGAGGAATGATTTGTTGCATATATGAAGCATCGAACTTTTACTACCTGTTTTGGATTTTACAAATTTCACTTGTAGAACTGAGTTGATATTTTGCATGTTAAGTTGTTTCAGTCAACTCTTTGTGACCCTATGAACTGTAACCTGCCAGGCTCCTCTCTCCATGGGATTTCCCAGGCAAAAACACTGGAGTGGGTTGCCATGCCCTCCTCCGGAGGATCTTCCTGACCCAGGAATTGAAACTGTGTCTGTTACATCTCCTGCATTGGCAGACAGGTTCTTTACCACTAGCACCAACAACTGAAATAGTGAACAGTTGACTTGTTTTCCTCAACATCAGGATACTGTTGTCTCTTTCTCTTTTAATGCTGTATATTATTCTTTTACTAAGGAACTATAGGGTATCTATAGTTACTCCACCAGAAGAGGAATCCTACAGAGTTTTTTGGTATAGGCACATGTCTGTCATATAAGTTAAAGCTAAGATACATTCAGTTAACATTCCTTATATATTTAAGCTAGATGTCAGGTAGATACGAGGCAAAAATGAATGAGACATAAGATCCACTAGGAGACACATATAAATATACAAATCAACGGACTTGTGATGTCATAATGTAAGTAAACATAAGGAACAGAAGTAGTCTTGAGCAGACTGTAATTAACTGTGGCTTATCCAGCTGGTGTTTGAAGGATGTGTAGTATTTTATCAGGCAATTGCAAGTTAGAGAAGGGTCTTCCTGACAGAAGAGATACCTTGATAAAGACACAGAGGGTAGAAGTGTCTGTATTGGTTGGAAACTACAGGTCATACAGCTTGCTGAAATATGAAGTGGTAGGGGTAAGAGTCGAGGCTGGAACATGAGGCGGGGGAAGGTCATGGTGAACTTTATGAGCCCTCCTAATGAACTTGACATTGTCCTGTAGATGGAGAAAAATCATTACATTTTAAGACAAGAAATCATGTGGTCAGATTTTCAATTAGTTTACTTGTGACTTAGTTGTGGAACGGAGAATTGGAGAAAGTCAAAATCTAGAAATGAAGTGAAAGTTGCTAACTTTATATAATTGCAATAAAGATAAGAGGTGAAGGAGGCAGAATTAATGGATTTGATAACTGATTACATGCAGGAGAGAGAAAGAAGAAAAATATAATGAATGTGTATAGAGTTCTCATTTAATTGCTAAATCATGTCGGATTCTTTTGCGACCCCATAGGCTGTAGTCTGCCAGGCTCCTCTGTCCATGGAATTTCCCAGGCAAGAATACTGGAATGGGTTGTCATTTCCTGCTCCAGGGGATCTTCCCAACCCAGGGATCGAACCTGTGTCTCCTGCATTGGCAGGTAGTTTCTTTAGCACTGCTCCTCCTGGGAAGCCCAGTTTGTAGAGTGTGCCACCATTAATGATGTCCTTGAAAAACATTAGAGTGTAATTTTTTATTGAGATATAATTGAAATATAACATTATGTTAGTTTCAGGTGTACAATATGATTCAATATTTGTATATATTGTGAAATGTTCACCATGGTAGGTCTAGTTATCATCCGTCACCAAGCATTATCTTTTTCTTTCTAGTGATAAGGGCTTTTAAGATCTCGTGTCTTACAGTATAATTTTTAGTTTACATTGTTTTTATTAACTGTTACTCTACCTTCTATTTATTATTTCTTTTTTTTGTTTGTTTGTTTTTTAGAATAGATTTAACTTCACTGGCATCTATATTGGTGCTACTCACATTATGCCATTTTTAGTAAAAAACAAAAGTGTAACACGTGCCAGAGTAGAGTTTAATCTGGAAGATGCTGATGGTTTTTCACTGGATTTTGAAGGCAAACCAGGTACATATTTTATGCTATGATGATATTATTATAAAAGTAAAAGAATTTTAAGTTGCTCAAAGAAATAATGTTGAGTACTGTGAAGGGCAATTATTCTTGATATTTTTAATGACTCAGTGCATGTTTTTCTTATATCCTGTAACCCATCTTGGTTCTATTTTTATAAATACACCTGTATTAATACCAGAAGACTAGTAATACATGGCAATTAACTGTGCTTACTAATAGATATAATAGGTTAAGTATGTTATATATCAGTATATACTATAAATAAAAATAAAATTATTAATTGCTAGTTTTAATTGCTTAAGAATTTTAGGTAAATATTTTAGATAGTTCTGTGTGTTTAACTATATATTAGGTATCTTTATGTTAAATTGTTTGAAAAAATATATTTCAATTGTTTATCTCAGGTGTTGTCAAAGTAAGATCTACGGGCTAAATCTGGCCTGGCCCCTCTTTTTATAAATAAAGTTTTATTAGAACACGGGCATACTCATTTGTTTGTATATTGTTATGGATACTTTTATAATGGCAGAGTTGAATAGTTGTGACAGAAACCATATGGCTCGCAAAACCTAAAATATTTACTGTCGAAACTCTTATAGAAAACTGTTTGCCAACCATTGCTTTAGTCATTTTTTATTCAGCATATATTTGTTGAATACCAATTATAGATCAGATACTAGCTTATGAGTCTATAAAGACAATAATACTTCTTACTTATTCTCCAACGGTGAATAGTAAGTTTATCAGTCAGTCAAGGTCTTAGTAGTGAATAAATGACTCACTTCAAGCATTTAACTGAAGATTATTTAATGAAGGAATTAGGTATGGACCTGGGAGCCAGGTTTAAAGGAACTGACAAGGATAGAAGTTGCTTCTACCTCTACCTAAAGGAGCAAGATGAGGCAGGATGTTGGAGCCCTGTGAGTGGTGAAACTGTAAAAGAGAGGCCATCTGATAAAAGCTGTAGTTATTTTTAAAAATATTATTAAAATTACTAAAAATTATTTTTTAAAAATCCTTGGCAGAATTGTAGGGAAAATGTGAGGGCATAAATACCTTCTATCCTCTGATACCTTGCTGGCATCTCCCTGTGGTTGAACCAGATCAGAGGCAGAAGAGCCAGGAGCCTCAATAAATCAGTCTGTAGAGGTTAGGACAGAGGAGAGCAGAGAAAGATGGCTATTGGATGTAAGTAACAAATGGTTACCACCTATATAACACTAGGAGAGAGAGAAATGAAGTATTGGGTTATTACCATATAGTATGGTGGATGCTTCAAGACAAGTCAGTTAATGGTGCTAAGTAACATATCTTAAGGGTAACTAGCTGAGAATCAGCACTAGGAGAAATTTCTTGGGGAAACTGATGCTTCATCTGGATTTAGAAGAATGAGGAGCGATACAGAGAAGGGGATAGAAAAGAATGAAAGTAAAGGTGTAGAAACGAGTCAATATGGCAAGTAGTTGGGAATATCTAGAGTATAGGAGTACAGGACTAGAGGAGCAACTGAGACCCAGGTAACTAACATTCTTTTCTGGACATTTATTCTAGGGGCTGTTGTTGTTTAGTCCCTAAGTTGTTTCCCCTTTTGTGACCCATGGACTGTAGCTGGCCAGTCTCCTCTGTCCATGAGATTTCCCAGGCAAGAGTACTGGAGTGGGTTGCTCTTTCCTTCTCCAGGGGATCTTCCTGACCCAGGGGTCAAACCCACATATCCTGCATTGGCAGGCAAAATCTTTACCACTGAGCCACCAAGGAATCCATTCTAGAGGTTAGACAGTTTGGTTATAGGATTGATATCTAGGCAGTGGTGTGAGTTGGCTTGCCCTTCACTGATTTTCCTTTTGGACTGAAGTTGAAAATAGCCTGGGGGAAAATGTGGGGATGGAAAGGGTAAGACCAGAGACAGGGAGATCAGTTAGGTGTGGTGGCCATACAGGTGGGAAATGATGAGAGCCTGGGCTCAGACTTTGATGTTGGGGAAGGAAAGGAGGAGATTGCCAAAGGTGCTTAGAAATTAGAAATGCTCCGATGTGGTCATCAAGTGGACGTGTGTGTTAGGGAAGAGGAAGAAATTTTGGATCATTCCCAGTTTTTGACTGTAAGTGACAGGTGCCTAGATGAGCAATTCATAGTTGATATAATGTGGGAGCATTAAAAAAGCAAGAGACATTACTTTGCCAGCAAAAGTCAGTATAGTCAAGGCTATGGTTTTTCCATTAGTCTTGTATGGATGTGAGAGTTGGACTATAAAGAAAGCTGAGTGCCAAAGAATTGATGCTTTTGAACCATGGTGTTGGAGAAGACTCTTGAGAGTCCCTTGGACTGGAGGGAGATCAAACCAGACAATCCTAAAGGAAATCAGTCCTGAATATTCATTGGAAGGACTGATGTTGAAGCTGAAGCTCCAATACTTTGGCCACCTGATGTGAAGAACTGACTCACTGGAAAAGACCCTGATGCTGGGAAAGATTGAAGACAGGAGGAGAAGGGGACGAAAGAGGATTAGATGGTTGTATGTTGTCACCGATTCAATGGACATGAGTTTGAGCAAGCTCTGGGATTTAGTGATGGACAGGGAAGCCTGGCGTGCTGCAGTCCATGGGGTCTCAAAGAGTCAGACAGGACCAAGTGACTGAACTGAATAATGTGGGAAAAGGAATAGGTCTAGGCGAGCATGCTGTGTTTGCAGGGACTGTGGAATAGCCCAAGAATGATGACAGTAGACATTAGGAAATCTATATAAATTTTATATTCATTTTTGAAAAATTTGGTTGTGAAACTTTAATTGCCTTAACATTTTTGCTCTGATTGCCTCATATGCTTTCATGCATCTTGTTAATGGTTCACAGACTCTTCCTGTTTATTCTGTAGAGCTACTCAACAAGGTGCATTTCTTTCCACAGTTCTGCCTTAGCCCTAGCTCAAATTTCCCTTCTAGGCCACTGCATCTTCTTTTAAAATGCTTTCCCAGCCTCCAAGCCTTTTTCCCTCACACCTATACCAGAGAGTGATCTCTTTCACGTAAAGATCTTATCCCATCTGAAAAGCTTTGTTGGTTTCCTATTTCCAGTAGCATTGGGTCTCAACAGCAGACTGTTGACACAGTCTTAGGATGTACACAAGTCAATCTTAATAATAATTATTAATAAAGTTTATAATTGCAATAAAGTTTATACTTAAAATGTCCAGAAAATACATTTTATTAATATTAGTATATTAACACATAAACATCTTTCTGTGACAAAAGTTGTAGCTTGTATTAAAAAGAGCCTTGTACTTGTTTGTCGTCTTTACTGTGAGCTCATGAGCTCAACGACTACAGTTCCAAATTTTGCTTTCTGCTAGAGTTGTCTGATGTAACTCTCTGCATGTTGTAAGCACTCAGCAAGTATTTATTGATGCTATGTTGGATTATTGCATTTCACAGTCTATATGTTTATGTGTACTACAGATATATTTAAGAATATCTGTTTTATTATATTTTATATATCTGAGATATATAGTCATTCTATGTGGGTATTCTTTGCTGTATAATATGTATTTTTTTCCACACCACAAACATGTTTGTGTTAATTAACACTTAATGGATTTTTTTGGTTCATTTGTCTAATGGTTTTTATATCATACATCAAGTTGAGTGAGATTTTACCTGGATGGAGAAGGGTGGAATGAATTATTTAAGTTTATTTCCAGACAGGAGTAATTGAAATTATTGTTCCTTGGATTAATCTGAAAACTTCAGGGAGAAAAAGCGATTTTAGAATGGTTTAGATGAAGATAGATGTTCCATTGTAGCTAACATTCAGTCTTTAAGAACTTATTTTAGAGGTTTATTTAAATGGTTATAATTTTTTTACCCTGAAGTTTGTGTTGCTTTTTGACAGTTGTCTGTATTTTCACCCAATGCCTTTGTTTTTGAAGTTATGCCGTTACATTGAAAGTTTTCCTTGTACAAAATTGTGTCTATCTTCTTTGTGAATTCTGTAAGGCATCAGAGGAGGTCTGGCTCTTCCCCTCTCCATCTTTGCTGGAGAGGGAGTCTCAATTCTCTCAGACCTAAGATTCAGTGAGTTATTTGACCTTGACCTTTACACCTTTTTATACTCATCTGAATAAGACTGTGATAACCTTCTTAAGCTTTGGAAATTTTTAAAATAGGTTTACCATCTCTTTTTGCTGATTGAATATATGTCCAACTCTTTGCAACTCCATGGACTGCAGCATGCCAGGCTTCCCTGGACATCACCATCTCCCAGAGTTTGCCCAAGTTTATGTCCATTGAGTCAGTGATACCATCCAACCATCTCATCCTCTGTCATCCCCTTCTCCTCCTGCCTTCAGTCTTTCCCAGCATCAGGATTTTTTCCAATGAGTCAGCTGTTCTCATCAGGTGGCTAAAGTATTGGAGCTTCAACTTCAACATCAGTCCTTCCAATGAGTATTCAGTGTTGATTTCCTTTAAGATTGACTGGTTTGATCTCCTTTCAGTCCAAGGGACTCAAGAGTCTTCTTCAGCACCACAGTTCGGAATCAATTCTTTGGCACTCAGCCTTCTTTATGGTTCAGCTCTCACATGTGTACATGACTACTGGAAAGACCATAGCCTTGACTATGTGGACCTTTGTTGACAACGTGATGTCAACACGCTTTTTAATACACTGTCTAGGTTTGTCATAGCTTTCCTGCCAAGAAGCAATCATCTTCTAATTGCATGGCTGCAATCACCATCTGCAGTGATTTTAGAGTCTAAGAAGAGGAAATCTCTCACTGCTTCTACCTTTTCCCTTTCTATTTGTTGTAAAGTGATGGAACCAGATGCTATGATCTTAGGTTTGTTTTTTTTAATATTGAGTTTTAAGTCATCGTTTTCACTCTCCTCTTTCACCCTCATCAAAAGTCTTTTGTTCCTCTTTGTTTTCTGCCATTATAGTGCTATCATCTGCATTTCTGAGGTTGCTGATTTTTCTCCCAGAAATCTTGATTCCAGCTTGTAACTCATCCAGCCTGGCATTTTGCATGATGTGTTCTGTGTATATGTGATCTGTTAAATAAACAGAGTGGCAATAAACAGCCTTGTACTCCTTTCTCAATTTTGAACCAGTCAGTTGTTCCATGTAAGGTTCTAACTGTTGAGATAGTAACGAAGCAGCCTTATGCGGCCCTACACAGATGATTCAGCAACTACTTCTTAATTGTTATGAATGTTTTGTTGAGCTTTCTCAAAGTTTCATCTCCACATTTAGCAGTAATACTTAGATATATATCTGGCATTTTTTTTAAAGTGTCTTTTTTTCTGGTCTTATAGGGAAATTCACAGACCCTGCATTTCCTAACATATTTTTCTTGGACTTAGAGGAAGAGACATCTGTGGAGTGTGGCATAGCATTTTCTCCCAAAGAAGTAAGTTCAGCATTCTGTTACTCATATTACTGGAGAGCAGTGGAGTTAAAATAATCCTAAGAAGCTATCAAAGGTGGCTAAGCTCTATTTGTAGTGGATCATTTTCTACTTGTGAGCATGCCTGTGTTCAGTAAAATGGTTGCCAGTGGAGTCTGGCTTCATGCTTGCAATGTATCTCGGGAGCTACAGAGGACACACACAAGGATTCTATATGGGTTTTTGGTCTCAATTATGCTTTCTGGAAAATTTAAGATATGACATGTTGTGAAGGAGAGCAAAGTTGCGGCTAACCCCCAAATCACTGATATTCGAGCAAGCATGTGCTTTGTGCTTATCTTTGAGTAGGGTGTGCCTGAGGCTGTTGGAACCATCACCTGAAATCACCAAAGACATGCAGTGAAGATTTAAGAGGGGTAAGGCAATGGCACCCCACTCCAGTCCTCTTGCCTGGAAAATCCCATGGGCAGAGGAGCCTGATGGGCTGCCGTCCATGGGGTCGCACAGAGTCACACGACTGAAGCGACTTAGCAGCAGCAGCAGCAGCAGCTATGACACTGGTTATTGGATAGCATTCCTTGATGTTTGGCGATTTAAAAACGTCAACAAAAATAACAAAGGAAGAAAATCAAAGGAAAAAAAACCTTTCCTAGAATGTTCCCATGAGGAAAGGCTACCACTGGAAACGTTTCAGGGACAATCTGTGATGTGCTTTTCCTTTGAAGGCAACAGAAGTGCCAAAGAGAGAACTTCTTGCTACCATTATATGGAAAGGCATGTTGCCATATCCTTCCAAACAAGAATCAGACTGCTTATATGGCAATTAGAGTACAAGACTCTTATGTCAAAACATTTTTTTTTATGTCCCAGCGTAACTGGCATGATGCCTTGTACCCAATTGGTATAGATAGAATAAGTGAAAGGAATTAAAAACACAATAAGAAGATGTAGTGAATGCTAACAAAGAATATATTTAATAACACATTTCTAAGTAATGTTACTAAACTACAGAGTTTACTGATTTTAAAGTCTTATTTTTGAAGCAGTAATATCTGTTATTTAGCTTTCAGGAGGAAAAAGTTAAGAAAATTTAATGATACATTAAGATTTGAGAAAATGCTGAAGATTAATTTTGCCTTCTTAGTTGCAATACATTAATTGGGATATATGCTGTGGGTGCACATATGGTTCACATGGAATTATACTGTCTACAGAGTTCACTATGGTCTGTTCTATTTTTTTTATCAAGATAATTGCTTTACAGAATTTTGTTTTCTGTCAAACCTCAACATGTATCAGCCGTAGGTGTGTGTGTGTGTATGTGTGTGTGTATATACATATATATATATATATATATATATATATATATATATAAATCCCCTCTCTTTTGAACCTCCCTCCCATCTCCCGCCCCATCCCACACCTCTAGATTGATACAGAGCCCCTGTTTGAGTTTCCTGAGCCATACAGCAAATTCCCATTGGCTATCTGTTTTACATATGGTAATGTAAGTTTCCACATTACTCTTTCCACACATCTCACCCTCTCCTCCCCTTGCCCCATGTCCATAAGTCTATTCTATATGTCTGTTTCTCCACTGCTGCCCTGTAAATAAATTCTTCAGTATGACTTTTCTGGATTCTATATATACATGTTAGAATATGAGATTTATCTTTCTCCTTCTGACTCACCTCACTCTGTGTAATAGGTTCTAGGTTCATCCACCTCATCAGAACTGACTCAAATGCATTCCTTTTTATGGCTGAGTAATATTCCCTTGTGTATATGTACCACAACTTCTTTATCCATTCATCTGTCGATGGGCATCTAGGTTGATTCCATGTTCTGGCTATTGTAAATAGTGCTGCAGTGAACAATGGGATACATGTGTCTCTTTCAATTTTGGTTTCCTCAGGGTATATGCCTAGGAGTGGGATTGCTGGGTCATATGGTGGTTTTATTCCTGGTTTTTTAAGGAATCTCCATACGGTCTTCCATAGAGGCTGTATCAATTTACCTTCCCACCAACAGTGCAAGAGCATTCCCTTTTCTCTACATCCTCTCCAGTATTTATTGTTTGTAGACATTGATGATGACCATTCTGACTGGTCTGAGGTGATATCTCATTGTAGTTTTGATTTGTATTTCTCTCATAATGAGCAGTGGTGAGCATCTTTTCATATGTTTGTTAGCCATCTTTCTTCTTTGGAGAAATGTCTGTTTAGGTCTTTTTCCCACTTTTTGATTGGGTTGTTTATTTTTTGGCATTGAGTTGTATGAGCTGCTTATATATTTTGGAAATTAATCCTTTATCAATTGTTTCATTTGCTATTATTTTCTCCCATTGTGAGGGTTGTCTTTTCACCTTGCTTATAGTTTCCTTTGTGGTGCAAAAGCTTTTAAGTTTAATCAGGTCCCACTTGTTTACTTTTGTTATTTCTATTACTCTAGGAGGTGGGTCACAGAGGATCTTGCTTTAATTTATGTCATTGAGTGTTCTGCCTATGTTTTCCTCTAAGAGTTTTATAGTTTCTGGTCTTACATTTAGGTCTTTAATCCATTTTGAGTTTATGTTTGTGTATGGTGTTAGGAAGTGTTCTAATTTCATTCTTCTACATGTAGCTGTCCAGTTTTCTCATCATCATTTATTGAAGAGACTGTCTTTGCCCCATTGTATATTCTTGCCTCCTTTGTCAAAAATAAGGTACCCATAGGAGCATGGGTTTATTTCCGGCCTTTCTATCTTGTTCCGTTGTTCTAGATTTCTGTTTTCATGCCAGTACCATCCTGTCTTGATGACTGTAGCTTTGTGGTATAATCTGAAGTCAGGAAGGTTGATTCCTCCAGCTCCATTATTCTTTCTCAAGACTGCTTTGGCTATTTGGGGTCTTTTGTGTTTCCATATGAATTGTGAAATTTTTTGTTCTAGTTCTGTGAAAAATGCCATTGGTAATTTGATAGGGATCTCATTGAATCTGTAGATTGCATTTGGTAGTATAGTCATTTTCACAATATTGAGTCTTCCTACCCAGAAACATGGAATATCTCTCCATCTGTTTATGTCATCTTTGATTTCTTTCATCAGTGTTTTATAATTTTCTGTGTACAGTTCTTTTGTCTCCTAAGGTAAGTTTATTCCTTGATATTTAATTCTTTTTGTTGCAGTGGTGGATGGGATTGATTCCTTAATTTCTCTTCCTGATTTTTCATTGTTAGTATATAGAAATGCAAGTGGTTTCTATGTATTGATTTTGTATCCTGCAACTTTGCTAAATTCACTGATTAGCTCAAGTAATTTTCTGATACTATCTTTAGGGCTTTCTATGTACAGTATCATGTCATCTGCAAACAGTGAGAGCTTTGCTTCTTCTTTTCTGATCTGGATTCTTTTTATTTATTTTTCTTCTCTGATTGCTATAGCTAGGACTTCCAGAACTATGTTGAATAGCAGTGATGAAAGTGCATACCCTTGTCTTGTTTCTAATCTTAGGGAGAATGCTTTTAGTTTTTCACCATTGAGGATAATCTTTACTGTAGGCTTATCATATATGGCCTTTACTATGTTGAGATAGGTTCCTTCTATGCCCATTCTTTGAAGAGTTTTAATCATAAATGGGTGCCGAATTTTGTCAAAGGCCTTTTCTGCATCTATTGAGATTATCATATGGTTTTTATCTTTCAGTTTGTTACTATGGTGTATCACATTGTTTGATTTGCATATATTGAAGAATACTTGCATCCCTGGAATAAACCCAATTTGATCATGGTGTATGAGCTTTTTGATGTGTTCCTGAATGCTGATTGCTAAAATTTTGTTGAGGATTTTTGCATCTATGTTCATCAGTGATATTGACCTGTAGTTTTCTTTTCTTGTGTTGTCTTTGTCTGGTTTTGGTATCAGGGTGATGGTGGCCTTGTATAATGAGTTTGGAAGTGTTCCTTCCTCTGAAATTTTTTGAAAGAGTTTTAGAAGGATAGGTATTACCTCTTTTCTAAACATTTAATAAAATTCTCCTGTGAAGCTATCTGGTCCTGAGCCTTTGTTTTCTGGGAGATTTTTGATCACAGCTTCAATTTTAGTTCTTGTAATTGGGTTGTTCATAATTTCTATTTCTTCCTGGTTCAGTCTTGGAAGATTGAACTTTTCTAAGAATCTGTCCATCTCTTCCAGGTTATCCATTTTATTGCCATACAGTTGTTCATAATAGTCTCTTATAATCCTTTGTATTTCTGCATTGTCTGTTGTAACCTCTTCTTTTTCATTTCTAATTTTGTTGATTTGATTCTTCTCCCTTTTTTTTCTTGTTGAGTCTGACTAAAGGTTTGTCAGTTAATCTTCTCAAAGAACCAGCTTTTAGTTTTATTAATCTTCACTCTACTGTTTCTTTCATTTCTTTTCCATTTATTTCTGCTCAGATCGTTATGATTTCTTTCCTTCTACTAATTTTGGGGTGTTTTGTTCTTTTTCCAGTTGCTTTAGGTGTAAACTTAGGCTGTCTATTTGATGTTTTTCTTGTTTCTTGAGGTAGGATTGTATTGCTATAAAATTTCCTCTTAGAACTGCTTTTGCTGCATCCCATGGGTTTTGAGTTGTCGTGTTTTCATTATCATTTGTTTCTAGAAATATTTTGATTTACCTTTTAATTTCTTCAGTAACCTGTTGGTTATTTTGAAATGTATTGTTTAATCTCCACGTGTTTGTGTTTTTAGTTTTTTTCTTGTAATTGATATCTAGTCTCATAGCATTTTGGTCAGAGAAGATGCTTGATATGATTTCAATTTTCTTAAATTTCATGAGGTTTGATTTGTGACCCAAGATGTGGTCTATCCTGGAGAATGTTCCATGTGCACTTGAGAAGGTGTATTCTTCTGCATTTGGATGGAAGGTCCTGAAGATTTCAAGGAGATCCTTCTCATCTAATGTGTCATTTGAGACTTGGGTTTCCTTATTAATTTTCTGTTTTTTTTTCATCTGTCCATTGGTGTGAGTGGGGTGTTAAAGT